TGTCACCTATTTCCCTCTGAAATCCGTAAGCTCCTAGTCACTTACTTGATGTTTGCTTTGATTATTGCTGTATGGTATATGGCGGCGTCTCTGGGGATTTCGAAGCGAAACTAAAACGATTGATCAATTGATTTGTACGATTCATCTTTGGATCCCAGGGGATGCCTCTGTTTCCCGTTTTTATGCAGAGTTGAAGTGGTTTTATCCTTCCTACCGTCGTAAGTATTTCCTGGCATCCTCCCTCTTTCAAGTCATCCAGTCCCACCGCTCTTTATACATCTCCGAGCTCCTTTAATTCAAATCCTCTGTTCGTTTCCGCAATACTCGTTCCAGGTCTTCTGATTTATACATAAGATCCCACCGAACCGCTGCTTTCGACAGAACGTTCGTTATCCGATCCTTATCCCAATGGAACTCCATCCCTTCCCACATCCGTCAATCCAATACCCTTCCTACCTTTAAATTCCTACGTGTTCAATCATTTCTTATCCATCCAGTCCCCATAAAATTGTAAATAGATACTACTGTAAATATCTATATAAATTATCAGATCATTGTTCATTATATTTACTTCATGTTTTTCTTTCAATTTTTTTTATTATTAACTGATTAAAATTAGAAAATAACTTATACTTTTTTACTATGACTATTTAATTACTCTGTATTTTTCGTTATGCATCTTTGAGGCTCCTTAACCCATATTTCTATCTTTCTATATTATTCTAAAGGGATTCGTCCCAGAATAAATAAAGTATTATTATTATTATAATGTATTTCAGATTGTAGGGACAAAAGATGGGGTTTAAATGAAAATTAATACAGAAGCTGGTGTTTGGGGGCATGAACCCATAATCAGACTGCATTATTTTTTCTTTGTTTTTTACTGAATAATAAATATACAACATCGTGTAATAACATGATGGAAAATAACGGTTAGTAATTTTAAAATCGTATAGATTGAAAAGCATAATACGTAATTACATAATAACCTAAAAGCAATTATACATATTAAAACGAACAATGATTAAATTTAAATAAAAAAATAAAAAGAAACTTATAGACTGACTTATAAAGATCAATAAAAACTAATGACCTTCTATAAATCACTTCTAAACAATTACATTTTAATTAAACCAGTCAATAATGCCCATAAATGACAAAATCGATAACAGACTTCCAATGAACCGCGTAATCTCCCATCACTCACAGTTGGCAGCTTAATTACAAAATGCTATCTATGACAAACTCTTTCAACAGTTCTATTATTTCTTTTCACACCTGCCTCGAATGAAAAAGGAATAATTTTCAAATGTGAAGGAAACAAGTTAAAATATGCAGGCACTGAACTAGGAACAATACGTCTAAACAGTTTAAATGTTGAGGAGATTAGGTTTATCAGGATAGACATGGAGATGAAATTGTAAACTGATATCGACGAAATTCTTGGAAGAATATAAAATAAAAATAAATAAAATAATAAGAAAAACCCCGAAGAGTTTAACTACCAACTATACTAACGTCTTACAAGAGTACATGGGGGTTGGAATGCGACAATAAAGGATGTGGATATGGAAGGAAGACAATAGCCTACAAATACTCAGGACAATAGTCATTCACTCCTACTTGAAGTTGGTTCGTCAAGCTCATGCAATCTACTTTCAAAATTTCACTTTTCACCCGAGTCATTTAACTAAATCAAAAATATTAATAATATCTTGGATTTGTTTTTTTAATAAACACGTACAAGTGTTCGTTATTTTATATAAAATGTATAGATTGATATTCGGTAGAAAGGATCAATTGGCATACTTATTTTAAATATGTATCCCAACAGTATAGCTCAGGTTTTCTTCTTATTTGATGTTATTGAATTTCATATGTTACTTTTATTATTTGCTATAATAATTTACTTGAAAAGCGAAAAATAGTGGAATGAAAATTTAAAAAAAATTAAAAATCTGATTGTTCCTTGTTGTGCAATACCGTCGCAATATTGATGAAGATTCTAAAACGTTTTAAATGTGACATCAAGTTCGAGAGTAGAAACCTCGCAGAATCCCTAATATTGAATTTTAATCGGATTTCATGATTGTTTCGTCTCGGAGCTTAATCAATAGATACAAAATCTGACATACAAATTATGTAGGTACATTGGCGACCCAAAAAGATACCTACTCAACGTTTGATTTATTCATCGTTTCAGTAATAGTTTTATTTACGAGTTTCGACAAGACCCAACGTATTTAATTTTTAAAAAACAAAACATTCTAATTGTTTTCATATTTTTTTAAGCTTTTATTTGAAACAAAAAAAAATTTAGATTTAGATATGTTTTACATTTTATTCTAAAATAACCATTTTTCATTTCTTATGTTACCTTATTTTGATTATGTTTATTTCATTAGTCCCTACTTTGTTGACGTTATTATTATTTATTTCTTAGTTCTCTGTTACTGTTATTATTCTACCTACTTTATTTTACTTTGATGTTCACTCTATCTACTTACTTCGTTTTACTTTAATTTTTTTTTCTACCTACATTTTTTAGTCCAAATCTTTTACCTTTTTAATTTTAATTCTTTATTATTCACTTTTTATAGTTTCTCGTGCCAATTGTTATCTGGTTCTTTTCTTAGCCCTGATGAAGGACTGAACTTCGGCAAATAAAAAAATAAATATAATTATTTATTTTTTCTATTTTTTATTTTGTAACGAGAGAATTCCTAAAAAGTTAATATTTGCTGTACCGAATGCTAAACGTCCGAGGGGTATACCGAACAGTAGGTGGGACGATTGCATTAAAGCCGATCTGAAGTGGGTTTGGACGGCGAACGGTGGAGGGAGGTGTGTAATGAGCGATTGGTGGTGTCGGCATCGAACCTTCGGGTCGCTAAGCCTTTTATTATTATTATTATTTATTTTTACTGATCACCCCAACTATCCTTCTCTTCTATTATTCACTACAGTCAACCATCAACCCACAATTAAAAAAAAAATCTTAAATGACAAGATTTCAGATGGAGAAGGGGTCAGTGAAATTGGAAAAATACTGCCCAATAAAAGAAAATACAATAAAAGATATAAATTAAAAAAAAAACACAGCACTACAACCTATGAAAGGTTTTGGTATCAGTATTTTGTTAAGGAGTACTGTTTCAACACCAACGATTGTGCAGGGTGATCGGGCCAGGAACACGCACAACTGCCAGGTTTTCCTTTTAATTAATTATTTAATCAAGAGTACCCAGTTTATCGATGCTGGGTGTGCCCCAGGAGGGTCTCCCTACCCCAGAGCCGGATTCGAACCCGAGATCTTGACCTTAGCAGCCCAGTGCCTGATTCACTGAGCTACTCCGTTCACCACAATAAAATATAAAGGTAAATTTAATTTACGCACCCTAACACACATCATTCCATATGATTGTAAGTTATGAGATGACAGACGAGGACTAAAATATAAAGAAAAAACAAAACTAACAAAACAAAACAACTTTTATTCCGAGTTTCGGTAAGTATATATAACGTAAATAACCAAGGTATGCCAGAGTGAAGAATAGAGAAAATATAACGAACATAAAAAAGAGGATAATAGGACTAATATTTAATTTCGGAAGCTATATACGTGATCGATAAGCCTTTTTGTTTGTTTATATTATATGGCTTTATTACATACATAGATGAACATTTAAAAATTACTAGCAAGATTGCTTTCATCACAATAAATTTGTAAATTAATAGAAGATTGTTCGTACGAAAGACATCATGTACTCAGGTTTCCTGCAATCCAGCGTTATCTCCCCTAAGTTACCGCAAGTCATGTAATTGCGGCAGGCTATGTAGGGCGAGTGAGGCATGCACGGGACTATTCCGTGACTGGAGGAACCGCGGTGTCTTCTGCCATATTTAACGGTTGAACTTGAGAGGCTAATTGGTATGTACAACGGCAGCCCAACCATCGATCCGTGATCTTCTCCAGCGGGGGCTCGTTGAGTAGAAAACTATCCCCAAGAAGTCAAGACAGATAACCAGGAACCGTAAAGAATGTTTCCTAGGAGCTTCTGTCAGAAAAGGGGTTCAACCATATCAGGATTGTGGAATTGTTGGAAAAGTGCGTAATGATTTCGGAATAAAAACTGTTTTATTTCTTGATTAAGATTTCGAAAATATAAAAAAAAAAATGCTTATATCCCTGAAGCCAGGGTCCAAAAATCGACCTGTTTGTGTAATTTGTCTCTGTTTTTGACAAATTTGATAAAAATCAGCGTTGGTTGACCGTATTTTTTTACCTTACCACGTGACAAAATTATAAAGTTTATGTATTCGCTTGAAGCACAATTTCACGTTCTTTAATTCATTAAAGAATACATTTTTCGATTTGATGCATCGTTTAGGTGAGTTATAGATGAAAAAAACAAAAAAGATTTAAAAAATCTGACATTTTTGGCTGTAAAAAGTTTTCCATTGGTATTCCGTGTTAGCATTTTTTTTTTTAAATGTCTAAACCCATATATATACAAGTAAAAAAAAATAAAAACTTTTCTCATATTTTTCGCAATGGATTCCCCGTTTCGATCCTCAACTTACTGGCCTAATATTCTTTAAATCAGCCGCAATTTTTGAAAGCAGCGGCTCTGGAACGGCAGACAAGGTTCTTTTTACTCAGAATAACACGCACTTTCGTAATTTACAACCAAACCTTCGCCTGCGATGAGGTCGATTTTTGGGCCCTGGCTTCAGAGCTATTACATTCAGAGATGGTCACCATCAACGTAACGAGAGGATTTTAGGAGTAAAAATATAAGATCTTTATCACATTGTATTCTTCTAAAATGTAGAAAAACAAAACAAATATTTTTTGGAATCAGATCAGACATTAAAAATCACTTTATTATTTATTTATTAATTACTTAAAAAAATATATATTTATTTAAAAAAAAAACAGTTAAATATAAAAGAAATTTTATAATATTAAATTTCGTAAATTCGTAAAATGTATTTACCTCGGTCAATGCATGCAGTTGACCTTCGTGAACGCAGACACCCATAAACCTGAAACAAGAAGACAATGGTTAGTTAAAGGATTCGGGATTTGATTACTAGATATTACTTTTGAAAATAGCAAACCTAAATATTGTTATATACATTATCAAATTGTTATTTTTCTGTATCTTGAGGTAAGTTAGCTACTTAAGTGATTTATTGACAATGCAAATATCGTTTCAGATTATAGAACAAAAGATTGATTGGATTTGAACCAAATTATTTCGCCAACAACAAATAATATGTCAAAATTTAATTGAAGTAACTGGCAGGAAGCAGGTTTTTTCAATGTTGTAATTTTCAAAACGTTTTTGGAAGCCACATTATGATATTGTAATCATTACTGAGCTGTTTTGCGAATTCATACAGTGCAATATGTACCTCTGCTTCTTTGATGTGAAAACTTCTTTAGTCGCGTTTTGCACTTGAAGAGTGTATGAAACTGAGTCGTCAGGTTCGGATGTGTAACGCTCATTCGGGTAAAGTCGACTAAATGAAGTGGTTTTGCATATAGATTAAAATAACTCAGAAACTAAAAATCGGGCTTGCATACTTAAGCGAGGGAAATGTTCAGCATTCAAAAAAATGTTCAGAGGGATTATTCAAAATTGTATCTTAAAGCGACGCCATGTCAGAGAGTCGGAAAGGAAAAACGATACCGCCAAGAAATCAAATAAGAATGACTGTTTTGAACATTTAGAACAAAATATCTCAAAATTTTAATACTATGGAGAATTCAGAAACTGATTTGTAGATGTCAATGTAGATATTTTTTTAAATAAACCATAAAAATAAGAAACTCAGCGTGTTTCTATTCAATTTTCTGCTGCATTCGATAGAGTGTCGACAAATTTCTGATTCTCGTTACAGAAGTTATATTGGAGAAATGAAGTTTTTGGTAGATATTGAGCAAATAAATTTAAATCAAAAATATTCATCACATATTTTAGTTATCATAAACCTACTCTATCATTTTGGTTTATTATTTTCAATAATCAACCACTGTGATCGACCAAAAAATTAAAAAACTTAACCCCCTCTCAAAACTTGAGGTTTCACGTTTCAGGACGCGTAGAATTCGAAAAAATTTTTCTCCGTCCGCCGTCCGCGCATTTTCTCCGAAACTACTGGACCAATTTTTTTTCAAATTTTGATATAAAATCAGAGGTCACCCGAGGATGATCCTCCTTCATCGATATTACTATCCGCCTTTTACTTTCAAGATGGCGGCCGAAAAACCTGCGTTGCAATAGACTGTAGCGCCTAAATGAATGTACCGATTTCAATGAAACTTCGCTAAAGTTATTTTCTCGACGCCCTTTAAATTTATCTATATAACATACTTCAAAGAAAAGAAGCTGGAAAAAAAGTTACGAGGGATGGTAAAATTAAATTCTGAATAACTCGAAAAGTTTTTACTTTGATATTGTATATAGTTATTTTAAAAGTTTACGAAATTTCCTAAAAAGCAAAAAAAAAAAAATCGTTAAAATCGGACAATTAGGAGCAAACATATGGTCTCCGGTTTTTCTATGTTAATATGTTCTACTCCAAATGCTATATCCTTGGTTTGGTTTTTAAATTTTAAATGTGTTACTGAACTAATGCTATTTTTTTTTTTTTTTTTTTTTTTTTTTTTTAGCATATTACGAATGATTAAAGAAAAACAGTTTAGTCCAATAATTGGAATCACATTTTGTTTTTTTCTTTGTAACTCGGAAGATAATGTTACATTAGATGTATAATTGTTTGCAAATAATAAACCATTGTAAAATAATTTGCAGCGTTTTTAGTGTATGATACAAATGATGGCCAGTCAGAGCAAAATTCACTACAGTAATTTATACAGAATTATAATTGTATATATTGTAAATGTTATTATTTTGTGAATATAGAACAAAAAAAATTATATTTCATATTATTAATCTCGACTTGTTGGTGTTTCACTTCTATGGTATGGTCTAAAGCATATACCGTTTTTTTTTTTATATTTAAAACACTTTATTCAGAAATATTACAATTTGTCACAGTTTAAGGACACTTATAATAGAGTTCAGAGATTGCATTCAATACCGTTTTTTTTTTTTTTTTTTTTTTTTAGGTTTTTTTTCAACAATTACTAATAAATTATTAATAAAAGGTTATTCATCGCCTGACAATAATTCACCATTCGTGGTAGTGATTTAGTGCGTGAGAGTGACTTCCTAATAAATACCCCCTTTGAGATAGATGTAGCCCTCATCATGACAGATCATCGATACCAAGGTAGGAGGGAGCTTAGAACTAGCAAGACCTAATATCAACTTTACTGTAAGGTAATATTAAAAAAAAAACAAAAAAAACATTATAAGTTTGTCCATATTTCATATATCGGAGCAAAAATAGATACAGGTATGTAAGTATAGACTATGTGATTATATCTATTTATTTTGCGAGGCACCAAAACATCTATAGTCAGAGATGGATAAGAAAAGATTACAGGTTTTTTTCCACAGTGAATCATAAATTTTCTTAAAGAATAACGAAGACCTTCGAGCGAAGCTTAATATTCTAAACAGAGTAAGGTAAGCCTTGATAAACTCGCCTTATACATGCATTAAATGATCTGACTCAAATCTAGGGAAAATAAAACATGAACAGTATAAAATCTTATAAAAACAGCCCTGTAAAATAATTATAACGTTTAAAGTTCAGTAAAAATATATCAATTATAATTTAAATAATTTTTCTCATAAAATTTCAATGATTTTGATGATCTAGATTTTATTTGATGTGTGGAATTGCGAAACTAGATTTCAAAACTACATTTTCCATTTATTTATTTTTGAACTAACCCATATTGTATTAATTAATTACTGTATACGTTTTCTCCAAATTAGAAACAAAAAACGTGGCCTATTTCATAGAGAAGAGGCATATCTCTTATACAATGAGTCAGAAACTATTTGGGCTGAAAGGACAGACTATTATTGATTTTTTGAAATAAATCTGAGACTAATTGTTCAGGTGAAACTAATCCTTAAGAGCTTAAGTTACTTTATTCCATCAAAAGTTACTTTATATTATATAAATAATTATACAGTCCATTATACAGAGAATTATACAGTCCATCTACAAATCATAACAAATAAACAGTACAATTTACTCAAAAGTAAATGGAAAAATTGTTTATCTTCCAATGAAAGTAACTCTTTCTTATCTATTTATTAGCATATTATTAGAATTTATAATTTTACTACGAGAAATCCTAATCCGACTATTTTTACACTTTCTTCGACAAAAATTTATTATTTGAAAACTAGTCGCTCATTTTTAAAGATTTATTCATTTTTCTAATTTTTTCTTACTCTTTATTTTTAATGAATCGCATCAGACATTCGAAAATAGAAATAAATCAATAATTAATATATAAGCTCGCCAATTAAAAATACTTTTGAAATTGGATTCTCTCTTTAGGTTTTAGCTACGAGAGGTGAAATTACTTGTTTTTAATCAGTGGTTATGTGTTTTTGTTAAAATAATTTTTCTTGATAAATTATTTATATATTATAAAATAGCTTTTGATGGGAAATTATATCTGATCATTCAAGCATTATGCTCTTAGAGATCAGTTTCAAAATATTTTTTTCTATTTTTTAATACAGTAATGAATGGACAGAGTACATTAAATTGTGAAATATAATTCATTAAAGTAATTTAAAATTATTTTATCATTTATTCTATAAAAATGAAAATATGATTGGCAGTAAATTGGTATTTTAAAACAATAGTATATAGCAATAATTTATCTGTGATGAGCTAAAGAGGAAATTAAACTCACCAAATTATTTAACTCCAACACAGCTATATTCAGATGATTCATTTGAGAACGGAGGGAAATTAGAATATGTAATTATAATTTAAGTGATAAGCTGATAATAACTGATGAGAAATTATAGTTTTAAAATTAATTATTCATACAAAACACTACGGGAATGATTACCCGCAGTGCTAATCTAAAACTTGTTTCTGATATGTTGAATCAATTTTTGTTCTTTTTTGGTACCTTGTAACAACTAATTCATGCCTTGTTCTTTTTATTATAGATGAAGACCAACAACGAATGTCGAAATCTAGGTAATAAAGAAATATTACACTAAAACAATGTGTTTAGGACCGCCCCTCTCTTCCCCCCCCCCCGCCAAACTATTTCTTATAATAATACGAAACATTAATCTTTCAATCGTTGGGTTAAGAAGCCTGGCGTTAGAATCGTGGTTTATCAATCATTCCGCTTTCCCATAGTCCCGATAAGGATCTATCGCCTTAGAACCGTTTTCTAAAGGCAATCTCAACAACGCAAGGCCCATTAATACTCAATCCGGCCACGAAATCATTAGCAGCTTAACTATTTTATTAGCCTTAGTCGCTGCCCTCGATACTCCGAACTACAACAAGAATATAATCCGACTACATTGGAACGATTACTACATAACTTTAAAAAAAAAATGATATCATTCTTTTTTGGGTGACACAAATTGATAAATTTTATTAATGAATTAAAAAATGGTAATTAATAAAATAATATTTATTTTAAATATTCATAGATGGCTCCTCAGTTTGGCGCTTATCATCTCGAAACATTAAAGCGAGAGGTGGACAAAGACTTGTAGAAATGGCCCAAAGAAATAGAAAAAAATTGAATGCAACTACTCGATTATTAATTACAATGCCTTCTCAATTATTAATTAATTTTTTGCAATAAACTCGAGATTAAATTAGATGAAAAATAAATATAAGCATTTTTGTAACACACTCGTCAGTCTCAATGTGATTCCGCATAAGTAAAAAAAAAATAATAGTTTGTTTTATTTTATTATTATTATATTTAAATTTTACGATAACAATGAATTCTTAACCTTTAACTCGATATATAAAAAATACATACCAAAATCTCTCTCAAAACAACTAAAAGAATCAAGTGATAAATAGTCAGGTCGCTAAAATTAAAAAAAAAGTCATTTTATGAT